TGGTTTTCCATTCCTGAGTTACTTCACTTAGAATAATAGTCTCCAATTCCATCCAGGTTGCTGTGAATTCCATTATTTTGGTTCTTTTTATGGCTAAGTAGTATTCCATGGTGTATGTGTATATATATGGCATATACTATATATATACCATATATATATATCACATTTTCTTTATCCACGATTTGATTGATAGGCATTTGAGCCGATCAATATTTTTGCAGTTGTGAATCGTGCCTGCTATAAACGAGTGTGCAAGTGTCTTTTTCATATAATGATTTGTTTTCTTCTGGGTAGTTACACAATAGTGGGATTACTGGATCAAATGACAGATCTATTTTTAGTTCTTTAAGGAATCTCCACATTGTTTTCTATAGTGGTTGTACTAGTTTACATTCCCACCAGCATTGTAGAAGTGTTCTCTTTTCACCACATCCACTCCAACATCTATAATTTTTGATTAGGGCCATCCTTGCAGGAGTAAGGTGGTATTGCATTGTGGTTATGATTTGTATTTCCCTGATAATCAGTGAGGTTGAACATTTTTTCCTATGTTTGTTGGCCATTTGTAAATCTTCTTTTGAGAGTTGTCTATTCATGTCCTTTGCCCACTTTTGGATAGGATTATTTGTTTTTTTACTTGCTGATTTGATTGAGTTCTTCGTAGATTCTGGATATTAGTCCTTTGTCAGATGTATAGATTGCAAAGATTTTCACACACTCTGTGGATGTCTGTTTACTGTGCTGATTGTTTCTTTTGCTGTGCAGGAGCTTTTTAGTTTAAGTTCCATCTATTCATCTTTGTTTCTGTTGCATTTGCTTTTGGGTTCTTGGTCATGAAGACTTTGCCTAAGCCAATGTCTAGAAGAGTTTTTCCCATGTTATCTTCTAGAATTTGTATGGTTTCAGGTCTTAGATTTAAATCTCTGATCCATCTTGAGTTGATTTTTCTATAAGGTGAGAGATGAGGATCCAGTTTCATTCTCTTACCTATAGCTAACCAGTTATCCCAGCACCATTTATTGAATAGGGTGCTCTTTTCCCAATTTATGTTTTTGTTTGCTTTGTTGAAGGTCAGTTGGCTGTAGGTATTTAGCTTTATTTCTGGGTTCTTTATTCTGTTCAATTGGTCTGTGTGCCTTTTTTTATACCAGTACCATGCTGTTTTGGTACCTTTGGCCCTATAGTATAGTTTGAAGTCTGATAATGTGATACCTCCAGACTTGCTCTTTTTGGTGAGTCTTGCTTTGGGTATGCAGGCTCTTTTTTGGTTCCATGTAAATTTTAAGATTGTTTTTTCTAGTTCTGGGAAGAATGATAGTGGTATTTTGATGGGAATTGCATTGAATTTGTAGATTGCTTTTGGTAGTAGGGTCATTTTTCACAATGTTGATTCTACCCATCCATGAACATGAGATGTGTTTTCATTTGTTTGTGTCATTCATGATTTCTTTCAGCAGTGTTTTATAGTTTTCTTTGTAGAGGTCTTTTACCTCCTTGGTTGGGTATATTCCTAAGTATTTTTGTAGTTTTCTTTGTAGAGGTCTTTCACCTCCTTGGTTAGGTATATTCTTAAGTGTTTTATTTTATTTTATTTTGTTTTATTTTCAGCTATTGTAAAATGGGTTGAGTTCTTGACTTGTTTCTGAGCTTGGTCACTGTTGGTGTATCACAGTGCTACTGATTTTTGTACATTGATTATGTAACCTGAAACTTTGCTGAATTCATTTGCCAGTTCTAGAAGCTTTTTGAATGACTCTTTAGGGTTTTCTATGTATACAATCATATAATCACAAGACCCAGATGGTTTTGCAGGTAAGTTTCACCAAACTTACAAGGAGCAATTAATCTCATCTTATTCAAATTGTTACAAAGAATAGACAAAAAAGGGAAAGCTTGCAAACTTATTTAGTGAGACAAACATAATATTGATAATAAAATGAATAGAACAGAAATTAATCAAATAAGAAGAAAATAATATTACAATTGTATATCTTTATAAATCGCAGATAAAGAACTCAACACATGTGGTTTACTATTATTATTATTAGCCTTGACAGCATGCAGACTGTGGTGTGGATCTGAAATTCACCACTTATCAGCTGTATGACCTGAAACAAGTTGCTGATCTACTTAGCTTCAGGTTTTCTCACCTATAATATGGTATATGTTGCAAAATGCTGCTTAGCTTGGGATATTGTTGTACAGATTAAATGAGAGAACGTATGTGAACAATTCTATAATATTTATTGTCAATCAAGATTATATAAAATTGCCATCATAATTTTTATTAGAAAAGTATAAATCACAAGAAGATACACAATTCAACTACATCAAAATGTAGTAAAACTTTTATTTTTGTATTCAACAATACTCTAATTACAGTTAAAAACCAACTAGAGCCTGAGAGACAGTATTTGCCACAACAGATCATTATTATTCACAACATATAAAAATTTCCTACAGATTCACAGGAAAAAAACAACCCAAAGTAAGAATGGGATAAGTATACAAACAGCCAGTTCACAAAAGGAATAAATGTATGATGAAATATACACTAGTTCTATCACCAGTTAGCATAGAAGTGCATATAAAAATGAGAGGCCTCTTTTTACTCATTTGATTGGAAAACAAAATATATTGTTTTGAAACATGGTCTCACTCTGTCACCCAGGCTGGAGTGCAGTGGCAACCTCTGCCTCCCAGGCTCAATTGATCCTCTTGTCTCAGCCTCCTAAATAGGTGGGACTGCAGGCGCCTACCACCATGCCCAGCTAATTTTTGTAATTTTTGTGGAGACGGGTTTTACCATGTTGCCCAGGATGGTCTCAGACTCCTGAGCTCAAGCTATCCTCCTGCCTCGGCCTCCCAAAGTGCTGGGATTACAGGCTTGAGCCACTGTGCCCAGCCATGGCAAAAATTTTAAAGTTGGATAACATCGATATTTAGAAGGATACAGGAAAATGCTATCTCAAACCACTGCTAATAATTTAATTGGTACAGCCACTGTAGGGAACATTTTGCACTGTTAAGTAAAAATCACAAATGACCCAACTCACAATCCACAAATATCACTTGTTATAGATCCAAGGAGAATTCTTGCCTATGTACCCAAGAAAAATGCACACATCTGTCCAGTGTACAGTTGTGCCTAATACTGTCCAGTGTACTGTTTTGCCTAATAGCAAAGAAATGGAAATAACCTAGGTATTCACCAAGGAGGAGTGGATCCATAAAATATGAAGATTTATATGCTGTACTATTCCTCAATAGTTACAAGGAGCAAACCATGAGAATATAATCAATATGATGATTTCAAAAACAGTGCAGAGTGATAAATGCAAGTTAGATTTAAAAAATAAGATAAAACTAGTAGATGAATTCTCACTTGAAGAGTGAGTACAGTAGGATGGGAAAGAATATGGGTGCTTCTCTGTGTCTCACTGATACCTGCAAGTCTGATGGAACAGAAACTGGGGTGAGATTTCAGGTAAAGAGGTGTGTAAGGTCCCTGTAGGAACATCTCTTCTCACCAACTATGACAATGATTTGGTAAAACAGAAGAATTGCTAAACTTTGCCATCTGTTTTCATCTGGCTAGGAACAAATGGAGTATTTACGCGAAAGCTACTTAAATAACTCTCTAAAAGTGGTGCCATTGTAAACAAAAAGCCCATTAAAAACATTATAAATACACTATAAATTGATTATAAATTTCAAAATCTTAATATTCTGTCATATTAACTCAATTTCTCTTCACTGCTACAATGAGGTTGGCAAGATTTGTGAGGAATGTTTTTAGTTAATAGTGAACTCTGACATCAGCTTAGTCAGGACTAGCCTGATTCACTTTCTATCCAGCTGAGCAACTCTTCTTCCAAGTTGAGCCTCTGAAAACTCTCCATAATAAGAATGGCTGAAGATCTGCAGCAAGCAGCCTCAACTCAAGCACAGCATTGATTCCATTGTGATAACAGAAGCAAATCCTAATTCCTCATATGAAAGCCAATGCCTTCTGGAATTGTCCTCTACTGAGCATCTGTAAATATTGTTAAGATTTAATTTGGTATACTTAACAGAGCTTTCTAATACTCAATTCTGTCCTATAGAGGAGAAGTGTATTGGGAGAGAAAATAGCATTTAATTCCCCAATAAGGAGTGATTTGGGTTAGGGGAACTATTAGCAAATAATTATTTTTTTCCATGTAACTTTTTATTTTGATATCATTTCAAACTAAGAAAAATGTTGCAAGAAATAGCATAATGAAATCCACATATTCTTTCTTCAGGTTCACCAATTATTGTCACCCATCTGCTTTGTCATTTTTTCTCTTTTTTTCCCCCCTGAACTGCTTGAGATTAAGTTGCAAGCATCAAACCTGTTACCGCTAAACATGTCAATGTATATTTCCTAACAAGGACAATGTCTCACATGATTACAATACAGTGATCAAAGTTAGGAAATTTAACATTGATTGAATTAAAATCCACGTCCATTTTCAAATTTTTCAAATTCACCATAAAGAGCTTTTTTAGGGCAATTGACTGTCATAATAAATTTCAATTGACTGGCTGGGCGTGGTGGCTCACACATGTAATCCCAGCACTTTGGGAGGCCGAGGTGGGTGGATCACGAGGTCAGGAGATCGAGACCATCCTGGCTAACGTGGTGAAACCCCGTCTCTACTAAAAAACACAAAAAAATTAACTGGGCATGGTGGCGGGCACCTGTAGTCCCAGCTACAGGCTGAGGCAGGAGAATGGCGTTAAACTGGGAGGCGGAGCTTGCAGTGAGCCAAGATCGCGCGGCTGCACTCCAGCCTGGGCGACAGAGCGAGATTCCATCTCAAAAAATAAATAAATAAATAAATAAATAAATAAATAAATAAATATATTTATTTCAATTGACTGCCATAACAAGATTCTTTATGGTTAATTCCCTCTATGCATCCACCTCCTGCCCTCACTCTAATCCAGGATTCAATTCAGGACCCCATATTACATATGATTGTTATATCTCTTTGGTTTCCTTTAATTCACAACACTTTCTGAGATTTTCTTTGTCTTTCACTAAACAAATAATGTGAGTGCATTGTCCCCACCTTTATGGACTGTAGCTTTGGTAGATAAGGAGAAAAATGGACTTTTGAGCTGGACACCAAGTCAGGTGCATTACCTGTGGCTTCTCTTCCCATCAGGTCTCTGTGACCACCCTCATTAACTTAAAGGAATTGAAGTCCTTCCGAACTCTGCGAGCACTGAGGCCTCTTCGTGCGCTGTCCCAGTTTGAAGGAATGAAGGTACATTCTGCAGAGGAGTGGGTGGAAGTTCAGTTAACAGGGAAAGGTGGAAAGACCAACAGTTCTTTCTGGGCTGAGATTTCCTTAAATTGCCAAGCTTTCCCTGGGTTATTTCCCAGCCTGCCCACTGCTTAGAATTTGAGAGGTAGGGAAAAGCCTAAGATAGTACTTTCTACCCTAAAAGCTTCTGTGACAGCCAAGATGAGTTCTAGCTTCCCTTCAGAATCCTGGGGTAGGTGTCCATAAGTCTCTAACACTGTCATCACAGGGCACTTCTCAAGGTATCCTTAGTGGCAACAGAGAGGACCCATTATGTAGGTAGCTGAGAGCAGGGCTTGTCATGGGGGTGGGGCGCATGTATGTGGAGATTAAGGACAGAGCTCCAAGAGATCCAGCCCTGCGCATCAGGCCCATCCTGAGAATCGAAGAGCCTGGTGCATCCTACCAGTCTGTTATGGTTTTCTCTGGTTTTGTTTCCATAAGGTGGTGGTCAATGCTCTCATAGGTGCCATACCTGCCATTCTGAATGTTTTGCTTGTCTGCCTCATTTTCTGGCTCATATTTTGTATTCTGGGAGTACACTTCTTTTCTGGAAAATTTGGGAAATGCATTAATGGAACAGAGTCAGTTATAAGTTATACCATCATTGCAAATAAAAGTCAATGTGAAAGTGGCAATTTCTCTTGGATCAACCAGAAAGTCAACTTTGACAATGTGGGAAATGCTTACCTCGCTCTGCTGCAAGTGGTGAGTACAATCAGTATGTTTTGCACTCTGAGGAGAAAATACTTCAAATAATCATGAATTGTTTCTCAGCTAAAAAATTCAGTGACTCCATTGTGATAATAGAAGCAAATCCTGATTCCTCATATGAAAGCCAATGTCTACTGGAATTGTCCTCTACTGAGCATCTGCAACTTCATTGACTGCTGAGCCTCAGCTTCCTAGTGATGCCCCTTTAAGGATCTGTACATCTCACCTTGTCCTGTATGGCACCTTTGCTGGCTCTCCACATCTCCAGGCAGAGAGGAGTGGAGCCTTGGGTGTAGGTCATGACACTTTGAACAGTTCCCTGTTTAAACCACAGTTGCCAGGTCTTGAACAGGCAGTGCAAATAAATATGGCATCAGAAAAGAACCCTTAGCCAGTCTCTTTTCAGCTGTTGGGCCACAGCTTCAGCTTCTCTGGTAACTTTTAAGGTGGAAATTTCTTGTTTTTAAACTTTGTATCTTGTACAAATGAAGAAGAAGAAAAAAAATCCAAGACACACATCCTTGAGTTCTCTTCTACTGTTCTTTTATTTGAGCATCCTGTCCTAGAAAGTTGGGGTATCATCTTATATATTCAGCCCACTGGACCTCACCTGCTTTTCCATGCCACGTGTCTGTTGATGGCAAGTCTACATTTGTATTATTCATGTTTTTCTGCTTTTGTTGCAGGCAACATTTAAGGGCTGGATGGATATTATATATGCAGCTGTTGATTCCAGAGAGGTGAGTCAGTGTTCTACCATGTTCTGGAGTGTTAGGGTCAAGTCAGAGATACCACGGCTACATGGACAGTCCAGAACTTATGGCATCATAGTTCCAGCAGCCAGGGTTCTCTGCCTTGTTTTCTTTGGAACAAAACACCATGAGATACCACCGCCTGATACAAAGGGTTCTTACGCATCCTCTAGTGAGTATCTGATACCCACCCAGTATTTTCTAAAATCCAATCCTCTTTCTCCATGGTGGCCAAGGAAAAACCACTCATATAGGAGATGGAGCCAAAAGTGGCCGAATCACAGGATGCCTTGATTTTCCTCTTACCTCTTCTCCAAATGGTTGTATAAGCAGAAACCAAATTTCAAAGAGTATCTGTCTTAGACTGTGGAAAACCTTAAGACTGCACTAAATTTGCAAGGGAGACCCTTCCATGGCTCCAGACTCCCTAGTGATGGCCAACTGGAATTTTAGTTAAAGAAAAAGATAATCACGGACTCTCAAAGTTGGAAGTGTACTCAGTAATCTAGCCTAGCTTCTATTTTCCAGCTTGGAAATTTGAGGGATAAAAAGAAAGAGTTTCCCAAAGCCATAGAGTGAGCAGATGGTTAGCTCAAGAATGGAGTCAATGGCAGAAATTACTGTTTTCTATTGCAGCATATGTGTGTGTTTTGACCTGTTTGGGAGTCAGCAGAGTTGATGCCTAACACTGTATTCAGTACCTGTGAGCTGGTACAGACTGAGTATCCCTTATCTGAAATGCTTGGGACCAGAAGGGTTTCAGATTTTGAATTTTGTAAGATTTGGGAATATTTGCATAATACTTACAGTTGAGCATCCCTGATCTGAAAATCCAAAATGCCACAGTGAACATTTCCTTTAAGCATGACCCTTGCATGTTATGTCAGCACTCAAAAAGTTTCAGATTCTGGAACACTTGAGACTTTGAATTTTCAGATTAAGGATGTTCAACCTGTAGTAGCAGTAGAGGTGGTTTGAGTAGTGTTATAGCAGCACCAAGAGATGAGAATGAATCTTTATGGTGATTCCAGTTGTCATTATAAATTCACAGATTGGCATTATAAGTTAATATACAGATGATGCATAGCAACAAATCTGAGTTTGCTTACTTCTGTGGGTGTGTTAATAAAATCAACTTTCTGGAAAGGCGGAGCTAACAGTAGATACTTAACTGTTTATAACAATTATAGTTTACATTGTAATGTTTATATATATTTATATGTAATTACAAATTAATTACATATAATTTTTATATGTAATTATAAAATTATGTTGTGTATATAATTATAAAATGTACTTTTATAATTTCATAATTTTAAAATGTAATTTTATAATTATATACACAACATAATTTTATAATTACAATTTATAGCAAAGGAAATATTTTAAAAATACTAATGTACTCATTTGTCTTTTTGAGTACATGACCTTCACTCTAGTTTGGCTTTGACATCCATCTTCGTGGAGGTGGAGATGGGAAGTGGGGAGGAAAGGTTTTGCAGATGTGTAGCAGACAAGGTGTGTGGCTTGCAAATGCTCCCAGAGTGAGTGACAGGTGGGTGGAAATGTGTGGAGGGGTGCCTGTTTTGGTGCTGGTCCTGCTATGTACTGGTTGTTGTATGCTGGCTTCTAGCCTGATGACTCTTGTCTATGTAGTCACCCAGCACCCTGCTGGCCTCAAATATTGAAGTTGTGATTGTTGAAACTGCGGGCATTCTCCCCATCATTTCCTCCTGGCCTTAAATGCTGGTTCTCTGCCATATCCTCCACAGGGTCCTTGGCAGTCTACTCCCATCCCTTGCTACAAGGCCTAACATGACAAGCCCATAGCTATGAACTCCATGTCCAAGCCACATGAGAACTGAGAGGTTCAAGAGACTTCTCTCTGTTCAATTATGTTACTCTAATCTCTTAAGTCAGCCTGCCTGCCTAATATATCTCAGGCCTTCCTACTAGTAATTCCTTCCAGAAAAATGCAGAAGTAAAGCGAGAATACCCTCTCTGCCTTCCATTTCCCTCAATTTACTGGATCCCAACTCCTCTTTCCAGACCCAAAGAGGGATAATCAGGACAGATATCTTGTAGCTCTGATTTTCTGTCTCTGTTTATTTTTCCTACATTTCCTATGGACAAATTGAGTAAGCTTTGATCATTTCATATTCTTGTCTAAACCTCCCTCCAATAAAACTCTCCACCTTCAAACCCTTGATCTAACAAAGAGGGACATGAAGGAGTGTAGACATTCCTATATCTCAAAGCAATAACCTAACTTGCAAGACTATTAGCCTACTTGGCAATTTTATTTTAAATGTCCAATGCTGAATATTCTTTCCATTACATTGTTTCTGTACTAATGTCTACCTTTTGTTCAAATAAATGGATGCCTCAAGCAAACCTGGACTAAGGTCAGGTAGTCTTCGTAGCAAAAGAGAGAAATAATATTTTCAAATAATTAACTTCATTACACTAGTCTACATTGTGAGTGTTGAATAACAAATACCACAAATACATTCAACATTAGTCAGAGCTATCAGCACTTACGTCTTTGATGTGATAGAAGGGAAAAAAGTGAAATTCTTTTGCCACCTGCCTAAAAGTACTTGAAGCCAATAACAATGCGAAGGACTTGAATGAAAGGGATCTCAGATGATTTGGGCGGTACCTCGAACTAGGAGAGCTTGGTTGAAGTCAATTTGTATCCATTTTAGAGCTTGATCATTCATTCATTCATTTAGATATTTATTCCATGTGTGTCAAAAATCTACATATCAGAAGGTATGCTAGGCACAAGGAATTTAAGAGTGAAAGGACATAACCACATATTAAATAAAGCAGTGGGCTCTATATGGGGGACATAGTAGTTTGACAACATTTAGTAGTTTAGTCACCTCTGCCCAAGGTGAATGTGCCCCTCCTCTGGTGGCCTCACTTCCAGTCAGGTTCCCTCCAGTTACATATCCATATGGACATTCCATATGGATGACTTTTTAAAAACACAAATGTGATCATACCACTCCTCTCCCTTACAATCCCTCAATGATTCTCCTTTGCTTAGAATAAAAAGCCCAATTTTCCACCACCCCAGGTCCCCACCACATGCCACCACTCAAGCTGAGCTGGGAAAACTGAGAGACAGGCTCCCAACAGGGTCCATGGCTGTTAGGAAGAGGCTATGTAGTCAATGCTGCTGTAAGAAACACCTTGGTCTTCTAGATAAGGCAGTTCGATGCTTATATTTTTCTCCAGTAATTGTTTTTTTCTCTTATTAAAAAAATTTCTAACAGAAAGAACAGCAGCCAAAGTTTGAGAGCAATTCACTCGGTTACATTTACTTCGTAGTTTTTATCGTCTTTGGCTCATTCTTCACTCTGAATCTCTTCATTGGTGTTATTATTGACAACTTCAACCAACAGCAGAAAAAGATAAGTATCCGAGTTGTCTTGATTTGGTAATTTTATCTCTGTCCTCCAAATGCATTGAAACATAATTCTGGCCTAGAATATTATACAAAGTAGCCTTTATGATCTGCACAATAACAAGGAGGGAGCCTCCCATGTCTGCCTGGAGATGATCCTCAAAGATGAGGCTGAAAGAAGACTGAAAACATCTGGGTTTAGTTAAGTCATTGCTTTTATTCTCTTTTACCTTCTTAATCAATGGACATTGTTACTATTGAGATGAAACCCATTAATAATTGAACCCTAATAGAACAACCACCACCAGGATTAGTATTTATTAAATATGACAGGAGGGTCATATTTTAATAATCTTTCAAATGCACTTTATTACCACAATAAAAATAATATACTCTCCTTTTTCAGCCAATGTATCCTGGCCCCCAGCCCCCAAGCCTCAGCAGATCTATCCACCCTACTTGGAAAGAAGATGATTGGGGAAGAGGCAGGGCTAGGGAGGTTTCCTTCTCCATACACTATAATAAACACATATTTATTTTGCTGATTCTAAAATCCACAGGAGCTTTATAGTGAATGTGAAAATTAAGGAAGATAAAAAGAAATTTTAAATCACCCTAAAGTGGCCACCAAATGGTAATCACTTTAGACAATGCCTCTTATGATTTTGGTATAATCCATTTCAGTCACTTTGTATTACTTTTACACAGTTAGAATTACCTTATAATTTTAATTTTGTAGTTTTGACCTCATTAGTTATAAGCTTATGTCGTAAAAGTATCTTTGCTATAAGAATTCTCAGGGCCGCTGGCAGGGCGTGGTGGCTCATACCTGTAATCCCAGTACTTTGGGAGGCCGAGGCGCAGAGATCACTTGAGGTCAGGAGTTCGAGACCAGCCTGGCCAACATGGTAAAACCCAGTCTCTACAAAAAATACAAAAAAAATTAGCCAGCTGTGGTGGTACAGGCCTGTAATCCCAGCTACCCGGGAGGCTGAGGTAGAAGAATTGCTTGAACCCGGGAGACGGAGGTTGCAGTAAGCCGAGATCGCTCCACTGCACTCCAACCTGGGCAACAGAGCGAGACTCCATCTCAAAAAAAAAAAAAAAAAAAAAAGAAAAGAATTCTCAGGGCTGAATTACATTGCATATTATGGATAGATCATAATTTATCCTGATCATTCCCCTCTTTGGACATTTATAGGTTGTTTTTAAATTTCATGCTAGATATTTTGCCCTCAAATTTCCAGATGTGAGAATCCTAGCTCATTTTTCTGTTCTTTCTTGCTCAGTAGTGAAAATAGTTAGAACTTTTTTTTCCCTGAGAGTGGCTCTGAACAGATTTTATGCAGCTTTGTTAGTAGTGTTATGTGTATTCATTATTTAAGAGAAATCCAGTTGCCCTTTATGAGATTTTTGTCTAAATTTTGGTACTAATTTCTGTTTTTGTTGCATCATGGTTTGATTTATGCAAGCTGAAATATATCAAATTTTTGTAAAGATTCTGTGTATATTTGCAAAGATTTATAACCTTTCTGTTCTAAAAAATGAAAAATAACTGATGAAACCTTATTTCTCTTGTATACCTTAACTTAAATC